TGATAGTGAAGATGTAATACGAGGATATAGGATTGGTGATTAGCCCAGGGCGGAAGAAATGTCACAATTATTTAGCGGACAATTGGTCAAAGGATCGGATTCATTTGTCTCTTTGATTAATTGTAGTGCGGTGTTAAGAATGATAATGCTCACGTCTGGGAATGTACCACGTCCATGGTCCGACTCAGGACTAGGTGCGTTCCTCTATGTCTTCTACCAATATGACCAAGTTACGAAAACAAGGTCGGAAACCTTCTAAAAAGAAGTAATTTCGTCGATGGCTCTATGAAATATAACTTTGCTTATCGGCAATCCCACCACAGAATCTGATATTGGAAAATGTTTAGCCTTTCTTAAAATGCACATCTTCTCAAAGGACGCTCGTGACAATGCGCGGTGCGGTTAACGTGTGGAGAATATACACTGCACTGCATGGTTCGAGCTCGTCTGGGGGTATTGGTAAGGCTTAGACGAGGTAGAAATTGCAGTCCACTTTGGATGATAATAACCTTTGGGAAAGAAAAACTATACTAAATGGAAACGTCGTGTCTACTCATGTTAGTGCGGAAAAATTTAAATATCAGTCCTCCATCACCTTAAACGAAATAAGGTGAGAACAACTCATATATCTGATTTATTGATAGTCTCGAAAACCTACTCACTCACGAAAAAAGTAATGTCGGCGATTGTTATAGAAAATATAAGTTTGCTTCATCGACAATACCAACACAAAATGTGAAATGGTAAATGCCTGACATTCATTGAAATTCACATCCGCCCTGTGACCCAGGGGCACTCGTGACAATGTGGCGTAGTGGTTAAAGTGTCGAGCTTACACGCTGCATTGTCATGGTAAGACTTTCGCTTCGGGTGTCAAAACTTGTACTGTTGGCCGAAACTGCAATCCATCCTGGATGTAAACACCTTTTGGGAAAGCATGGCTATGTGAAATTCAATAAAAACATCAGCTGTACTCATATCGTCGTGGGAAAATTCAACTACCAGTTCTTCATTCCCTCAAACGAAATAAGGTGAACACAACTCATTTATATGACTTACTATTAGTCTCGAAAATAGAATCTTATAGCAAATGATAATACGCAATATACATAATCGTGCTCTGAGGAGTTACTACCTAATTAGGATTGGAATAGACTAACAGATGTGGAAGTTTACAATCCCACCAAGCGATATGATATAAATGCCATTTAAACTGCTATGAAGGGAATTAAACTAGGTAAATTGAAAATGAAGGAAATATATAAGGAATGGAAAAATAGTGATGTAGCATATAAATGCCACAAATCCATATACCCAGATGTCGAACTTTCCAGGCCACAGACGCTCTGGAATTCTAAGAGCATATATCACGGCACCAGTGATGTAGAGTAATGCCATCAGAATAAGCCAGCCAAGAGCTGCGCTACTGACTGCTTGCCAAAAGCCCTCCATAATGATGTAGTGGGTACAGGGGATCACGCCAGAGAGACCGAGACAGATGAAAAGCACTACAATGGCAAAAAAACGTAAAACAAAGATGGTGAAACATAATAAAAAGCAAGGGCTGAGAAAAGCAAGGGCTGGAAAGAGAAGAATAACGATAAGGAGAAAATACAAAGCTTGAATATAGTCCAGTATGAGAACAAAAAATTAGAGTTTGTTTGACCTTGCTTTCGCAACTTGATCATATTGGCAGAAAGACCTAGAGGAACGCACCGTATCCGGAGTCCATATCAGGCATGATAATTTCCAGAGTCGGACCGTGGACTTAGTACATTCCCAGACGTTACGCCGGCATCCTCATTGAGCCTTGTCAGTCTTAGCCTCACTACAATTCGTCAAAGAGACACGTGAAGTCGATATTTTGACCGATTGTCTGCTAAACAGTTGTGGTATCTCTCCTTCTGTCATGGGCTATTCACCTATCCTATATCTTCGAACAACCTCTTCACTATCAACATTTCTTAATTACTTATTTAAATGTAGTTTGGTGTGCTATTTTGAGCGGATTTCATAAGAGCTCTCCACACCCCACCCAACTACCGTTGTGCTGGGAAAGTTTATCTAAATCTACCATATTATTCCACAATCC